CATTCAAAACCATTTGTTTTCCATTGTTGTAATGCAGTACCATGTGAAATACAACATATAGTCTTATATACCGGTCTTCACATCAAGCCTACTTTAAACAGCCTGTATTAAACTCCCTAATCAAACAACTCTATCTCATTTAAGCTTGGAAAGCTCCAGCCTTTGCAGCTTTCTGGTACAAACACTGATACACTCTGTTAAATACACCACAAAACAAAGCAGCTCAGGTCCACACTGCACTATGCCTGGAAGCCAAAAGGACCTTTATTCCCTTAACACCGAGTTCCCTGAGAACTATTAAATCAAAGAGAAATGCAGATGGTTTCAGATGCAAAACTTGCTAAAACAATTTGAAAGAGTTTACAATTCAAACAGCAGAATAATCCCCATCGTCCATGGAATCATTCACATCTCAGGGCTCCACCATCCACAGAGGGACCGTACCACATCTCACAGCTCCAGAATGAATGACAAGCCTGCAAGATGAAAAATCTTCTGAATGTTCAGCATGATTCCAATCACTGTCACACTACGTGCATTTAAAGCTACACTGCTTAAATCAAATTGCATTGCTGTAGCCACAGCTCTGCAAGCAAATACGTTCCGTATGGTACAAAAATAAGCCCCCACTTTCTAGTTCCATTTTGGGCTTTCAGGAACATCTCCTTCTCTGAACAATAGGTCGGCTTGGAAGTTTTACTAAAAATAAAAGTTCAGAGCTGTGCCAAGTGATTTAGCTTGCAGAGGCAGAATTTCCCAAGCTCAAACACTCCCCACGTCTACTCAGAAGAATTTTTACTTTATTTTTCTGAATGCCAAAGAGGAGACGGCGATGTGAAGGATAGCTGCGTGGGATCAGCCAAAAGGGAAAACTCAGGCATTTCAATTTCCTCCTGTAAGCAGGTGTGGGCTTGACTCATCAAAGGGGCAGAGAACACCATTGGAAGTAATGAATTTTCACATTACTGCAGTGCACAGGGAACGCCGAGTCCATAGCAACACCACCCTCAGTAAGACAGAAGAGATCACGCCTGCCATTTGTAGATACAAAAGATTATGAGCTGTGCCCAGAGAAAGCAGGACTTCAGCTCCCATGTGCTCGTAAAGCTTCTCCCAGGTACAGTTACATTTGTTCACTGCTCAGGCATGCAGACAAGTGACTAAAAGAACAACAAAGCTGGGCTGCAACCTAATGAAATATGTGAGGCACAAAGGATACGGTGAAATCAGAGCTATCTGAGTTTCAGTTTTCCTTTAAATAGTAATCTGAAACACTGTCTAATCTCAGGATTTGACTGAGGGACTCCATTCACTCCTAAACCACTCCTCTCACTCTGTATCCCACAGCTGAGGCACGGGGAGGAATCAGCCATTCCCCACATCCTTAAAAGGCAAAACAAAAACACAAGAAAACCTACGCACACAATTCTACATTCCATTTTTCACTAGAAATAAAACCCTTCAACGTAAACCAAGCACCACCTCCTACTATCTGAACTCTGTTACCACCACAGGCACCGCAGTGCCCACTTCCTTCTCTGTGCTGCTGCCACAACCCGCCGGCCCAGCAGCCCCGTCCCGCTCCATGACACAGGATGCCATCCATGGCAGAGCCAGACCCCCAGAGAAGCTCCTGGCACAAGTTAGAGGCACCCTGCGCAGGCAGCTTCCAACGGTTACCACCACCTTTTTTTCCCCATTTTATCTACAGCAACAGGCATTCCTACATTACGATGACATTTCGCGTGCACACCTTTCTTTTTTTCTTTAAGCTTTTATTTTTAGCAGCTGAGGTGCAACTGAAGCAAACCTCGTGGTCAGCCCGGCAGCCCCTCAGCCTTTGGGACAGGTGGTTTGGGGCAGCCGGGAGGCAGCACTGAGCACCGTGCTGTTACAGGCTGCACTCACACACACACCAACCCTTGTGTCCCAACAGCTCACGACAGCACTTTCACAAGAAAGCAGTTCTAGTGACGATGCTGTCACACGTCGCACCTCCAAGAACACATCTTCCCCAAGACTTCCACGGCTCACACAGATCCCACCAGGCCAGTCGCCAACGCACCGCTCCATTTTTCATCCTGCCAGCTCCAAGCTTCCACGCTTGCTCACATCAGCATCATCCTCCAGCAGAATGCTCCCAGGACAAGGTGCTGGGGAAGGGCAGCTGACTGGGCTCAGGACATGAATTAGTCATGTTTGCAAAGTATTTTCCGAAGCAGAAATAACAGAACTGAACAATTTTCACCAAAAGTCACCAGGTGACTCCTTTCCCCTTCACAACTTTATAGCCCCAAGGCAAGCCAGCATTTGAAGTTTCAGGACCAGATCAAAACTGTACATCATACAGTACTCCAAGCACATTTTAGCAGTTACAGACTCCAAGAAAATTCCAAATTTCATGAACTCTGTACAGATAGACTAAAGAACTCAAGGCGTACATGGACAAACTTCAGCATCTCCATCCACAGCCAGCAGCAGCAGAGGGAAGAGCCAAGGCAGAGCACAGGACATGCCAGCCCTCCCATTACAACCACAAGAACCGGCTCTCTGTCTGCATTTGCTCCACCAGGCTTCCAAGGTGCAGTGCTGCCCTGGGGCGCAGAACTGTGGCTGCTCTCAGCTGAAGTCTGGAGGAGAGCTGGAAGTCACACCTGCTCCTTTTTAACTACAATCAACAATTGTCTTAGCTCAGGCTTTAGATGTGAGGAGTCTCTAAAGGCACTGAGTCTTCAGTTGACATGATGGAAATCCCTTCAGCCTCTGTATATATGGATTGCATAGGATTGCCACTTGCCTTAACCATTTATCCATTCGGCTTAATTTTACTTAATTGTGATCGTTAAAGTTAAAAAATTACTTTCTAAAGGCTCTGTAACTACACAATAAATTTCTCTGACAACGCAGTTTAGAACCGCTGCCTTTCATTAAGCAAACCATTCTCTAATATGCTGTTGCAGCATCAACTCGATCAGTTATGCTGCAGAAAGGCCTCAGAATAAATCAAGAGCCCATCCTCCACCAGAAAAGATAAAGTAACACTTCTCTGTCTCACCCTCAGCTGTGAAAGCAGCATGAAAATTAAAACCACAGGCATTTTTGTTGTTGTTTTGATGTGGAAGAAGAATTTACAAATTAACTGCAATGCATGACCTGAAGTGATTAACGGTAATCTTCCACCACTCGAGCTTCTCCTCCTATCCACACAGAAAGCACAGAAGATGAGAACACAGCTCCGTGTGCAGAGCAGAAGACATCAAACACGCCGTTAGCATTCTGTCCTCTGCTTTTTATTCAAAGCAAAGAAAGAAATCCCCCAAAGCTGCCACCCATCCAGGTACACCAAACGAGCAGTTTGTGCCGTGCCACCGCGCACCTCAGGGCAGGCCCTACACAGCCCAGGCAGGCAGCAGGAGCAGGTCCTACACAGCTCAGAGCCCTCCGCCCAAAGGACGCAGGGTGCGGGATGCAAATGGAACACAATGCAAGCGACCAAGCCGGGCCCCCAGCGGGCAGGGCAGCCACCACCGTCATATCTAAGGGGAGTGAGCACAGAGGGGCCTGGCTGAAAGGGCTGCTTTCCTCTGAAGAGAAACCCGTATCCCATTTGCATCAAGAAACAATTCAGCATTCTGCTGCCGGGATGGAAAAGCAGTGCGCAGCAAGCTTAAAGCAAGCTGAAGCACCTCCAACAACTCCAGAGCAGTGAACTTAAATCCAGGGACGCACCAGCAGCACGTTTTACGTTCCTCTCCCCAAACATGCTATTTTAAATGAAGAAAGGAGAGAAGAAAAAGGATACTTAAAGAAGTCTGTAGCAACTGCCCCCCACTGTCACCTGCGCTCAACGGAGCAGCCCAGCACCAGCTGGAGCTGTGGGGTCACCGCAGCGAGCACCCGCACACACAGCAGCCAGGTGGCCTTGCTACCTACCTGCCTGCCCCAACTTCACTCTGCGGTGCCCAAAGACACTCCAAGGCAAAGAAGGACATCTGAGATTTCCCACCAAGTTCATTATTACCATAGCAGTTTAAAATAACGTTTATGCAAGAAATAGAAGTTATATTCCCACTATGTTCAGCAACAGAATCAAAGAGCGCCGCGTGGGAAAAGCAAACACATTGCACAGCACAATAGCCAGCCTTTCCTTTTCCAAAATCGCTATTCCTAGCTGCTCTACGTCAAAGAGTTCCCCAGATCTACTGAGCGGGACGAGAAGGTCAAAGAAAACAACAGTTGGCTTTCTCCAGCGTTTTTACCAGCGAGCACAACAGGCAGCGGCAAAACCCCTCCCGAACGCTCGGCTGGAAAAACCAGTCCGGCGTCCCCCCGGCCCCGCGAGGACGCGACTCGCGCACTGACCCGTTCGAGTTCCGCAGGCATGGATGCGCGGCGCCGGCCGCACCGCCCCCGGCACGGACGAGCCCCGCTCCCCGCGACCCCTCGGAGCGCGCAGCCTCCCGCTCCGGCCGCCTCCGCAGCCTCGTTCCCTCGCGAAGCTCGCTCCTCCCGCGACCCGAGCGGCTGCCTCCCTCCGGCCGGAGCCCATCCGGGGCGAAGAGCCCCGCGGAGAAGCGCCGCCGCCGCCCCGAGGGGAGGGAACCCCGCTCACGCGGCTCCGCTCCCGCCGCCCGGGCCCCGGGGGCGGGACCGACGGGCGGCCGGGGCCGAGCCACGCCCGACGGCTGCGAGAGCCCGGCCCGGGGGCGCGGGGC